AGGATTGTTGTTGTGGGGAAAAAAAGGAGGAGGAAGTAATATTTGGTATGATCCAGGGGTGAAATGCTTCCGGTTCGGATTGGATCACCTGATCCGGTAGCGATGGCGGCGGGTGGTTTGGAGAACCGGTAACAAAAATCCCTGTGCCTCCCCCCATGCCCAGCTGAGCCGCACGATCATCAGAGGCTGTTTTTTTTACTTTTAAAAGCATTTTTTCTACAACCTCTTCGGCTAAAAAAATGCTTTAAAAGTAAAAAAAAAAAAGCCTCTGATAATCGCACAGCTCAGCTGGGATTGTCAGAGGCTTTTCAAAGCATTTTTTTCTGCAACCCCTTCGGCCGAAGAGGTTGTAGGGAAAAAAAATGCCTTTAAAAGCCTCTGGCAATCCCAGCTGACTTGCCTGATCGTCAGAGGCTTCTAAAAGCATTTTTTTTCTGCAACCTCTTAAGGTTGTAGAAAAAATGCTTTTAAAAGTAAAAAAAAAAAAAAAAGTTGGCCACGCCCACCCAGTCACATTACCCCCACCACCACCAAGCCACACCCACAGAACCAGTAGTAACAAATTTTAGATTTCACCCTTGGTATGATCTCTATCATGAGTTACTTATAAAGTAATGAAGGTGGGATTAAAAATCTAATAGATAAATGATTAGATTAGATTAGATTAGATTAGATTGCTAGACAGACGGACAAATAGTCAATCAGTCTCAGGTCTGAGTTTAGACTCTGCTCCTGATTATTACAGCACAAAAACTGGAACAATTGGCCCAGAGAAAATCTCACAAACACATGCATACACCTGGATTCTATTTGTTAGAAGGCTCAATCCTAAGGATTTTCTTAATTGTCCTATAGCATCAAGAGACCCACACCAAACATAATTGGAAAAACCTTGCTGTTTAGAAAACCTGAATTGAAGTCATCTGAGAAAAGAGACTGACAGAAGACACGGTGACCAGTTGCCACCTGGTGATTCAAACATGAGTTTACAGGAACACCAAGCAGCTGAACAACAATTCTGGCTAAATGACGTCCATGGGCTCTTTGAAGAGTTGGAAGTGACTGAATGACTGAACAGCAACCACAATAGGCATGATCCAATGAGACTTCTCCTAATTCTCTTTCATGGTTAAATGCTCTGCCATGTATCTGCCCTTGTTGAATTTATGTGAAGCAGCAGATACCAGCTGCTGTTATCTGCTGTTTGTTCATTCATTATGTCAACAGAATTAAAGAACAGGAACTTAAGACAGCCCAGTGTTATGCCAAAAGAGTAACAAAAGAAGACTAATAGTTCTCACATTGCAGTTAATAGCTAATTTAAAATGTTGCCTACTGTTGCATTCATTCTAAGAGACTGTGCTGAATCACAGAGATACAATCCGTTTGGGAAGGGGTTATTTTGTCCAGGTTTCATTTGAATCAGTGGGAGCAATAGGTCATACATAACTGCCAAAATGTCCAGATGCTGATCAGAACTCTCCAAATTTAGACATGAAGGCAGCATCTGAGCAGTTAGAGACTTGAGAGCTAGAGACATGGCCTTCTGGTTTGATTAAGCCCTTGGCTAATTAAAGTGGGAAACAGATTTTCCCACAGTTGTTCCTTATTTAAAGCTTTTAGCCGTAATGCAAATGCGATTCAAATGCACATTTACAAGCAGGCATCCTAAAGTGAGACAAGCATCTTGACTTGAGTTTTGACATGTTCAGATTGATGCTGCAAATAAAAACTAAATAGCAAAACTAATATTAATATAAAACTAATAGCAACAGCATTTAGGCTTATATACTGCCATAGTGCTTTACAGCACTCTTTGAGTAATTTACAATGTAGAGCACGGGTGTCAAACTCACTGCATCACATTGCCATCACATGACATTTTGTGATGTTTTTCCCATTCATGGAGCTGGGGTGGGCGTGGCCTGCGTGTGATGCATCTGGCCCACAGGCCGCCAGATACCCCTGGTAGAGCATTATTTGCACATTGCCCCCAATAATCTGGATCCTCATTTTGCCAAACTCAGAAGGATGGAAGGCTGAGTCAACCTTGAGCCGGTCAGGATTGAACTCCAGGCTGTGGGCAGAGTTTGTCTGCAAAGTTGCATTTTAACCACTGCACCATTACCAGGGGTGAAATGCTACGGGTTCGCACCGGTTTGGGCGAACTAGTAGTGGCAGTGGTGCATGGTTTGGTGAACCAGTAGCGGCAGCAGCGCAAAGCTCCGTCCACCCACCCAGACATTGTTACTTCCTGTTTTTTACCCTCTGCACATGCGCAGAAGGCTTTGTGCATGCGCAGAGGGTCCAAAAAATTGCATGTGATGCGCGCGCATGCTTCCGAACTGGTAGGGAAGGTAAGTAGATTTCATCCCGACCACTACTACCCTATAAGTAAGGTACAGTGCATTAAAGTCCTTAATCAGTCTTGTATGGCATTCCGAAGATGGCACTGAAAAATAAAAGGAATGAAAAGTAAACCAAAAGATCACATTTGTCAAAGAATTTAAGAGAATGGGGAAGGAGAACATACTTTGCAGTAATAAAATTGTTACTGCAGGACACTCTTCTTGAAGAAACTTGGTACTTTACTTCCACTCATTACCTCTGTGCAGGTAGTCTTTTTAGTGAAAAGATTCATTTTTAGAATATAATACGAAGCAGTTTTAATTGACTTCTACTTGCTTGAAAATCAGGAGGAGTCTGGTAGCACCTCTCACAGGTAATACACTTTATTCATTAGATGTATAAATGGCCTAGACTGATGTAGGATTTAATTGGGATGGGGGGGGGAGAAAGGAGAGGGAAAGCAGGTGGGTTTTGCAGATGTAGGTGATGTGAGGCAATTTACAAGTAACAATTAACTGTTGGACTGTGCTAGAAATTCACTGTGTTTGTTGAGACGTTTTAAGATTTTCTAAAACCTTTTGATCATGTGAATGCAGCAATGTGCATTTTTCCAAATATTTCACTTTGACGTTTACAACAGAGTAGTTGGAATATTTTGATATTATTTCTTTTGAATCCTGAGGCCAAATTTGAGTCAATTAGTTGTTTTGCACAAAGTTTGCTCCATTTGTCCTACAATCAAGGAGATATTTGCTATCCTTAGCAGTTGCCATATACTGCTGTCATTATATCCCATTATACTCCAATATAACACGAACTGTAGATCAGAGAGAAAGAAATAATGTTATACTTAATATTTTGAAAGGTCTCTTTCTTTAAAAGTCGAAATCCCTTGAATAAGGACACTGGAAAAATCTGTGAATTTTGTATAAGAAATAAAATATTGTAATATAATACACCAGCTGGATACACGTACTCCGCTCTGAAACTATTGTTCAGGCTTGATAAATTGACACTTACAGCTTGAAAATTAATGAGTAGTTATGATCGGCCTCTCTCTCCCCTTCTCTCCCTCAGGCTTGCCCCACAGAGGCCTCTTCTATCTTATCCCCTTCTCTCCCTTTCAGGTGGGTTCAGAATGTCTAAACTCCCAGCCCGCAAGCCGGATGAGTCACATGCTGGCCATGCCCATGCCCAAGTGGCAGTTGGAACAGAGTTCTTTTCAGGTGGGGAGGGGGAGTAGAACATCTAACTCCCTAGCATCAGAGCATGTTAATAATAATATAAGAAATATTAGAAATATAAGAAATACTAATGATCTGATGGTCATTTCGAAAAATCTTTTCTTAGCAAGCACCTAGAAGCCAACAAAACTTAAACCAAATGTATAAGGGATTCATTTTAGAAAATGAGTTGGTTAGTTGCTTACTGTAAAAAAAAAAGTAGTATTGGAACCATGACAACTCGACATTATATGCCTCTAATTTGCCCTTCAAATTACTCTCTAGTTATCTGAATATGATTAGAAAATATTACTACCGGTAAGCTAAATCTATGGCTGAATGAATGGAATGTTTCAATTTAAAAAATCCTGTGTTTTCAAACATCTGTAGTTAAAAAAAACAACCATGAGACCAAAGATTTAATTGTACATAATAATATGCAAATGATTTCTCACCTGATGGTTTTGAGCTGAATTTAATAAACTCAAGAGCCCTTTGAGTTTTCAAAGTTATTAACATGGGCAGCATTAAACACATGATGGCAAAGAAGAAACCAATAGAAAAATCTCACAGAGCAACAGTGGGAGAAAAGATAGATCAAATTGGCATGGAAAACACAGGCTGTACTCTGACTGGCAAAATGGACCAATAGTATGTGAATATTAACAATTATGAAATCAAGATGCTCTGACCCATTAATATTTTTTCAGGATACCTACTTTCACATTTCTGTGAAATTTCACATAGCTGTGAATATTATGCAAGAAAATCTTTTTGCATTCATGCAGTGGGCTCATATTGTCTTTTGTCTCTTTAATCATCACATGATCACGCATGATGTGATGATGAGATAATAATTATTTTTTTGGCAGATACGAACAAATATAATTGAGCTTAATTAAGTATGGCTATTGGATGGAATTGCAGCTAGAGTACAAGAGCTTAAAAGCCTGACACAGCTTTCAGCTGTTGATGTAGGTTATTCTCTAATCATAAAGGTGGGGAGGCAGGAGACAAAAAAGCATGTAAAATTACTCTGCATTTTATTCTTTGCAGAGGTATAAATTAGAGGGCTTAAAAGTATTTTCTCCCATCTGTCCTGTACATCTTGGAAAATATAATTTTAGAGTGTTTCATGGCATCTGTGACTTGAATCAGTACTTTCAATAATGTTTGGAAACCATCACATGAGGTCACTTTAAGAGCTACGGAAAAGCAAGGTGACTAAACTTCAGTTTGTTCAATACTGCAGAAACAAAATTATTATATGAAGTTTTAGATTAATGTCCATTGTGATCTGGGTCCTAATTTATGGAAAAAGTACCTTTTGTTATCATATCAGAATATGGATGTTTTTTCCACAATCAAACCTGTTGTCAGCATTCTGAGTAAGGCATCCAAAGAAATCAGAACTCCGAGGCAGGAACGTTCCTCAGAGAAGATGTTTATTGGACACATCATATCAACACAGCTAGTGAAAACCAATTCTAAAAGTTTTCCGCAGTTACCATGTAATTAAAAGAGCAAAAGTTTCCCTCCCCAGGTATCACAGGTCACATTGTCCAATCAAAGCAGGTGGTGGGCTCCCTCGATCACTTCTGCTCTTCCTCCAACTGCCACCTGTTGGGATGACTTTAGTTCCCACACGAGAGCTCTTTATTTTGTCTACGGGACATTCTAGCTATTTCCCCTTCATCCTCCCCCCATAGTGCGTGGCAACTGTAAACAGTACAAGATGGCTTCAGCCAGGTTTGATTCAGAGTTGACACCTGTGTTTTGAGTGGTGAGCCATGAGATTCCTTCCAAAAAAGAGGAGAGAGCAAAATCTAAAATTGATCTGATCTAATTTTAATTTAATTAACATTAATCTTGTTAATATGATTTTGGTTTCAATTGTGACTTCAATTCTGCCCCATTCAAATTATAATTTAGCAGCACTTTATAAAAAATCTGGAGCCATACCAAGGGTTTCCAGACTCTTCCAAGAATCATTTGAGTTCATTGATACTGCGGATTAAAATTGGATGGAGATTCCTAAAAAGTAATTGAGAACTGTAGTGTGTTTCTGTGTACATCTATAATCACAAGAGCACAAAGTTGAGGATGCAAAGATTTTCTCATTGCCTTGCAATAATAGGATCAATGATTGCTTTGCTGAAATGATTGTGGATAGATTTTATACCATTTGAAAATTTAATTTTCACGTGGTTCTGCAAATGAAAAGGAAATCATTTGCATGAGATGGAAAAACAAAACAAAACCAGGAAGGACAAAGGGAAATTGTTTCCAAACAGAAGCATTTTTGGGGGGGGAGGGAGAGAAATCACTAATTAATGTCATTTAAAACATGCTGTAATTGAAGACTTTGCTTTTTTTTTGGCGATTAAGTCAAGCAAAGTTTTAAATTTGGGTTACAGCCATATTTCTCCAAAAAATAAAGCATAATATTGCAAAAGAGATTGGTTTATTGATTCAGATTCTGATTTGAATTTTATAACATTCTCAATCTGAGCCAAAGAAGGCCCACAAGGATTTGTGTTTCATAAACCAAAGGGGAAATAAAATAATAGATGAGCATTTATCACAATTGTGCCATTTGATCTGTCAAAATATGGGAAATAAGTGGGAAACTTATATGGATATGGAATATGTGCAAAGACACACGCTAAACATTTTGGTACAACTGTCTATCCAAATTATGCCAGTGAAGAGCACTAATGTCATGTTTCCCCCTTTAAATAAAATTAAATACAGATTTTCATCCAAACCAAATCCACACAAGGGAATATCACCAGTGCCATGATGGATGTACCAATGGCGTATATGTAGCTAAAAGGTAGTAAAATCTGGGATGGAGTTGAGGGCGGAATGTAATTTTGCAATATGTTGTACCTCTCCAAACAATGACAATGCAACTAAATAAGCAATGAAATTGGCAGCAAAAGAGCCTCCTCTGAATTTAAGTGGTGCGGATGTAAAAATCCAATTATATCAGCCATGCTTTGACAATTGCCTTGCTGATATTCCCAGAACAGAGTGGGAATCCGCTCAGTATATAACTGCAGAAAGCCTACACATTGGAGATTCATAATTCAATGATAGTTCCCAGCACGAGGCTATGTGACTCCTGCCTTGTATTGTGGACACTTGGAAGCTCATTAGGGAGAACTTCACTGAGAAGAAAGAAGAAAAAGGGGAACTTTCAGCTGCTTAGCAGACATAAGTGCATGTAGGAAAAAAAAACATTTGTTTTTGGTAATATAACTTTGCTAAGGAAATCCTCTTGAGCCCGATGTTGACATTAGAAAAGTTAAATTTCCTACAGGAGCTGACATAATTCAGATAGGCAGTAAATACAGGTACTCCTCAACTTACCACCATTTGTTTAGTGACTGTTTGAAGTTACAACGCCACTGAAAAACTGACTTATAACCGTTTTTCACACTTACGACTGTTGTAGTATCCCCATTGTCACATGATCAAAATTCGGACACTTGGCAACTGGTTCATATTTATGACGGTTGCAGTGTCCCGGGGTCACATAATCAAAGTTTGCGACTGTCTGAAGAGCAAAGTCAATGAAGCCAGATTCACTTAATAACTGCATTACTAACTTAACACTGCCGTGATTCATTTAACAGTTGTGGCAAGAAAGGTCATAGAATGGGGCAAAACTCACTTAACAACTGTGTCACCTAGGAACAGAAATTGTAACACAATGACAGGATTACTTAAGTCTGTCTGCACCACTTAAGCCTGACTACATTAGACTTAATATTTTATATATTACATTAATATACAACTTGTAGTGTGCAATAGCACTTAGACCAGGAGTCGGCAACAGTGGTGGGATTCAAATTTTTTTACTATCAATTCTGTGGGCATGGCTTGGTGGGCGTGGTATGTTTGGTGGGCGTGGCAGGGGAAGGATACTGTAAAATCTCTGTTTCCACCCCACTCCAGGGGAAGGTTACTGCAAAATCCTCATTTCTTCCTGAGCAGCTGGGACTCGGGAGGCAGAGAATAGTTGGGGGCAGGGCCAGTCAGAGGTGGTATTTAATGGTTCTCCGAACTATTCAAAATTTCCACTATCGGTTCCCAAGAACTGGTCAAAACCTGCTGAATACCACCTCTGGTCAGCAACCTTAAACTCTCAGAGAGCCACAAAGGTCCTAACCGGAAACCCCCCATTCAATTCTGGAGCCAACCAGAAATCCGGTTCTCCCACCATAGAGTCTCTTCCTAGCGTAGCATCCTTTTTCCTCTGCCAACCAGAAGTCCAGTTCCCCCACCATAGAGTCTCCTTCTAGCACAGCATCCTTTTTCCTCTACCTGTCCTAACCGAAAGTCCTATCAGTTGTAGAGCTGATCAGCAACAGAGAGCTGCAGCAGAGGAATGAAAGAGACACATACGGCTCCAGAGCTGGTGGTTGTTGACCCCTGACTTAGACTCATATACCACTTCACAGTGCTTTACAGCCCTCTCTAAGCAGTTTATAGAGTTAGCATATTGTTCCAACAATCTGAGTCCTCATTTTACCAACCTCGGAAGGATGGAAGGCTGAGTCAACTTTGAGCCTGGTGAGGACTGAACTGCGAAACTGCTGGCAGCCAATGGTCAGCAGAAGTAGCCTGCAGTACTGCATTCTAACCACTGAGCCATCAGGGCTCTTGATGAAAATGACATGGACATTTCTGAAATTGGGTGGGTTTCCTCAATGACAATTATTATGTTCAGTGTATGTGGACAAATTCACCTAACATAGAGATTTTGGAAAATTAATCTTTGTATCTATTGAGTTCCATGGGGATAAATTCTAGGCAAATGGCAAAGATATGTTGCCTAATTTTGACTTTAAAAATTGAACAGTTAAACGTGTGAAACAAACTGGAGCTAAAATGAACAGCTTTAAACGATGGAAATATATAGAGGATATAAATATAGATTTTCTATAATTTATGAGAAGAAATAATATTATGCACTACGCAATCTTTCAATTGTATTTAAAAACAACTGAAGAGCTACATTTGGAGAAAATATTCTGGGTATAATTGAGGATCCTTTCTTCTGCATAATTATTTTGGGCTCAGAATTAGTGCGCCTATGGCGGGGCAAATTAAAAATTAGAGAGCCTTTGTGTATAATTACACTTTGTAGCAATAACCATTCATTTTTGAAATAGAACATTCTGCAATTAGAGGAATCACAATGAAAATAGCGTACATGTCTGATTTGGGTATTCATTGCAGGAAGAATACTCATCCTGCACTACATTAGTACATCCCTAATTTTTTGATGTGGAGAGTGTATAGAGAGCCACTCTGTGCCTATACTTATTTGAGAATAAATTCCACTTTGAAGAAACTCTTCTTCAAAGAGTTTTATAATCGTATAGGTTGGGGTGTCAAACTCGCATCATCATGGCTGCATCAGATGATGTATCGGGACTTCTTTCCCCTTTGCTAAACCAGGCATGGGCATGGGCAGCATGTAACACATCTGGCCTGCAGGCCATGAGTTTGACATCCCTGGTATAGGTAAATGGATTTTAAAACTACCTGCCTTCAGTACAGGTACCGTACAGGTAATCCTCAATTTACGACCACAATTGAGCCCAAAATTGCTGTTGTTGAGTCATTTATTAAGGGAGTTTTGCCTCATTTTACAACCTTTCTTGCCCTACTTGTTAAGTGAATCACTGCAGTTGATAAGTTAGTAACCCGGTTGTTAAGTGAATGTGGATTTCCCCATTGGCATTGCTTGTCAAAAGATTGAAAAGGGTGATCACGTGACACACACACACACCCGGGACACTACAACAGTCAGAAGTATGAACCAGTGGCCATGCATCTGAATTTTGATCACATGATCCTTGGGATGCTGGAAAGGTCGTAACTGAAAAATGGTCGTAAATCAATTTTTTCACTAAATTAGTGAAAAAACGGTCACTAAATGAACTTTTGTAAGCAAGGACTACCTGCAGATATTTTTTTTTCTATCCTTTTTCCCTATTCTAGAGATCAAATAGACATAAAGTGCTCACCAAATAGCTGAGGCAAGTTCAAAGTGCTCTCTGGAAACGTTCTGGATCTATTAGGTGCCTGAGCTGAACCATTTTCAAAGGATCTGCTACCCTCGCAGATGTCTAAGACTGCCATGATCTGCAGTATGACAAGGAAGTAATCTGACCACCACAAAGCTTTGGGAACTCCTGAGATGAGATTCAGGAGCTCATAAAAGACCATCACTGGACAATGAATATACCAGGAAAAGCCCTAGACCAGGGTTGTTAAACTGGCAGCCCATTGGCCGGATGCATCACACACAGGCCATGCCAACCCCAGCTCCGTGAATGGGAAAAACACTGTGAAACATTAGGTGATGGCAACATGAGGCTGCAAGTTTAACACCCGTGCTCCAGGCAAACAATGCAGCCCACCTGCATATTCAGAATGCTATTAACTAACCATAGTCTTTTATCACTATGAGTCTCATCAACAGTCAGAACTACCTCTCCTCCCTAACCTGGGCATCTTAGCTGCTGGAGGTTATGAAAGCCAGCTGGACAATTTTTCATTTGGGCTGCATCTCCCTTGTTGCCTCAGTAATATACATCACAATTGTGTGTTCATCCACTACTGTCATAAAGGAAGTAGTCCTATTTATAGCAATAGCAATAGCAATAGCACTTAAATTTATATATGTTCCACAGTGCTTTACAGACCACTCTATCTCTATCTCCAACAATCTGGGTCCTCATTTTACCCACCTCGGAAGAATAGAAGGCTGAGTCAACCTTGAGCCTGGTGAGATTTGAACTGCCAAATTGCAGGCCGCCTGTAGTCAGCAGAAGTAGTCGGCAGTACTGCACTCTAATCACTTCGCCACCATGGCTCTTTGACACAGATATGGCAGTTACCCACAGCAATTGGAGGCCAAGATGCCCAACAATCTAATCATCTAATTGGTATATGCCAATATACCTATTGGTATAGGTCTTATACCAATTTATCAGGCTTCTTTTCCTGAATAAGGTACCTTATCTAGCACCTTCCCATGACTTTCACTGTGGAGCTGATATCAATTTGGAAATTTGGGTTGTTGAATATTATAAATTTAATCTATCAAATATTATATGCAATAATTAGCCAATTCCAAGGATGGGCATCTACTTATTAATGCTGTTGATTAATTCTTTGAGTTCGTGGAAAATACAGATACTAAAGAAAGCTATTCTCTTTCATCATGCTTTTCTTTTCTTTTCTTTTCTTTTCTTTTCTGTTCTGTTTTCTTTTCTTTCTTTTCTTTTTGCTAACTTTGGGACCATTAGTATCATAGTAGCTCAAGAAATAATGAGAAAATTAAAGAAATATAGTATAAACAGAGAAAAGTATATTTGTTGAATGTATTTGCCAGTTACATAACTCCTATATCTAACATACCTCAAGGAAATTTGAACATAAAGAGATTCTAAACTTTGCAGAAATTGCAGGATTAACAGTTTTTTTTTAAAGAAATGGCATTATATTATTCTATACACCTCAAGATATTCAAACATTATTTTTTTAAAAAAAAAATCAATAGCATTTCTCATGCATAAAAATGTTTTGACATTTAGGTATAGATTAGAATTAATATTTATAAACTCTGTCAAGCTAATTATGACTCCATTTTAAAAACAATTAAAACAATTAAACAGAATATGATTAGATGGTGTAATGCAATTTATATATTCTGGAGAAAATCACAACTACTAAAATGTCTGCTCTATTAAATCTGCTACTTTTTATTCAAACACTTCTTTTCAATATTTCTGATAAACATTTAAAAAATCAGCAATGTAGGTTGGTTATTTTGGGCAAAACAACCTTGGATAAAAATAGGTTGCCTAGAGTTACACTGTAATTAAGCAACTTGGAAGATTTCAGATCTGAAATGACCTATTGCTTTTCTGTAATGCATTTTTTTTTTCTGATCTGGGAACAGTAATGATATTTTGCAAAATAATATAGGTCAGAAACATCTATGCATTCCTTGAGGCAAATGATAAGCAATGTCCCCTGCACCAAGATGTGGATGGATGGATAGTGGATGGATACCTACTTACAACATTCATTTAACAATGGTTCATATTTACAATAGCCTGGGAAAAGGTTACTTATACATATTAATTCCCACAATCGAAGAATGAATAGGAAAACTGATGGAGCTTGCAGAGATGAAAAATTAACTGTATTAATCAATAAAATGAATACATCTAGTTTTGTTACTATTGGGAAACTGCTTCTAGACTTTGTGCTCCAGACAAAAGAAAATGAAAATTTGATTTTGCTGATTAGATCAGTCTGTTGTTAGAGAAATGGATAGTGTACTAAGGATATAAAAGTAAAAGTAAAAAAGTTGAGATTATACCTTATTTTTTTTTCTATTGCACTGAAAAAAGTTGGAAGTTAATGCTTTTTTCTTCTTTTTTCCTCTACCACACTTTTTTCCCCCCTTTCTTATTTCCTTATTATCTTTATCAGTGGTGGGATTCAAGTAATTTAACAACCGGTTCTCTGCCCTAATGATTTTTTCCAACAACCAGTTTGCCAAACTGCTCAGAAAGTTAACAACCGCTTCTCCCGAAGTGGTGCAAACCAGCTGAATCCCACCAGTGATCTTTATTCTCATTTTTATTTTTATATTATGAATTTAATACAAAAAAAATTATGGTAAAAGAGAAAAAAGTTATTTATGACTGATATTTGCACTTACAACCATTGTATCGCACCCACAGTTACGAGATCACAATTCGGGCACTTGGCAGCCAACTCACGTTTACAATTGGCTTACAAGGGTCGTAAGGTCATGGGTTTGCAATGTGCAACTTTTTTGCTGATTTCCTGCAAAAAAATGCCCACTGAGGAAGTCTCATCTGGCTTAATGACTGAATGACTGCATGATTCACTTAACGGGCCCTGTCAAAATTGTCGTAAAATTGGGTTCAACTTAACTTGTGACTGCAATGACTGAAGCTAGAAATTTTGGTCCCAGTTGTGGTAACAAGTCAAAGATTACCTGGAAAGAGAAAAAGAGAAAGAGATCCCTTTTCTAGGACTCTGTTATCTAACCCTTTTCCATTTCAATAATGAAATGTGAATAATTTAACTTGCTGAGCTGCAGGTGACTGTCTGTAGCTTGAATATTTGTTTGTTTATAATAAATAATAATCAGTAACTCCATCCAGAGTTACCCCGTGGTAAGATAGGTAGTCAATAAATTGAATAAATTAATATTTCCAGACTCAGCAAATGATTCCTTTCTCCGGTAAAAAATTATGCTACACATCCAGAAAGAAATGATTTAGCACGTATGACTTCCAGCACTTTTCATCTACCAGCAGGAAAAAAAATAATAATAACCTGGAAATGCATTTTAAAAACTAATCAATTTGACACCATTTCGTATCAGATGCTAAGGCAATCTGTATAATCTGGTATGATTAAAGGTAGATGAAAATGTTACTATAGGTTCAAATATTTTTAATTCAATGTACTGGTCAATTTAATGTACTGTATTTTCAGCCACACTTTTTAAAAAATGCCATTTTTTGTTGCTTCCATCATGTTTGATCTTTACTTTTGTATCTATTTTCAAATGTTGACTATACAGATTTATTTGTCTATTTATTTATTTGAGCAGCAGGATGCAATATTAGAAAATAAATACAATACAATAAATTATAATAAATTATAAGTACTATATGGCTTTTGTTGTACTCTTCCAGTGAAAATCCATGTTGAACCATGGATTTTAACAGATAAATTAAACAGATAAATTAACAGAGATATTAACAGAGAAGTCAGAAGTGACATATTGATACTTTGCTTCTAAATTGGCCAATTGGGTTTGATTTGATTATCTGCACTAAGCCATGCTTAAGCATGGTAGAATTTCTAACATCCATTAGATCTAAAAACACGTTTGTTTATCTTATCCCATCTGTTGTAGTCTTGGCAAGTTGTAGATCAATTCTGAGTGTGATTTTGACAATATTCCTGAGAAAGACAACATCTTATTGTTCTGACCCAGCCTTTGCAAGCAATGAGAAACCACTTACTCATGAGTAAAACAACTCCCCTTTAAAAAAAAAAAAACAAGGCAGGAATATTCAGTCTTTATTGTTGGATAGACAAAACCAAAAATAATTAGTCACAAATGAAAGTCTTTTCCCCTTATGAAACTTCTTTTCCCTGAGAGCAGGTTTATTGCCTTCCGTTGCTCTCCTCTCCTCTCCTCTCCTCTCCTCTCCTCTCCTCTCCTCTCCTCACATACAGGCATCCGGGATGGGCCCCATCTGTTCCTCCCCCTCACTCAGCTCAGCCCCAAAGACAGCTGCCTCTCCACTTGGGGGCAGACAGAAGGGTCTGGCTCTGCATCTGCCTCTGCTTCCTCATCAGAGCCTTCCAAAGAGTCCGAAGCCGGCCCAGGCTCTCCCCCCCTCTCCTCCTCATCTGACTCTGCTGCTAGCTCTGCTGGCAGCCGACAGGCCACAACATTTATCATCATCGCAGCAACTTCTCCTACAAAGGAGAAGTTTAAAAATCGGCATAAACTTTACTCAATAAATTCAGCGAACTGATGGTACAGCACTGTATAATTTAGGAGTTAAGCTCTGATATGATAAGGGGAAGTCATAGTGTAATGATAGACTACATAATTTACATGCAGAAGGACTGAGATTCAGCCCCTGTGTTTGCCAGACAAAGAACAACTTGGGCAACAGATGACAAGGACGATACTGAGTGCTGGTAGAAGACTCAGATGACACGCCCTTTTCCCAATTAGTTATGTGATTGATTGATTTCTGTCCAGTACTGCCTCTGAGAAGCAGGCACAAGTATTCATTTTCAGCCATGGAACAAAAAAACGGGTTACATAAGCCGAGTCTCCCTCCACCACCTTTTCGAGTGCCAATCATATTTTAATTCAAATGTTATGACAGCTATCATGGCAGTCTGAAAAAAGGAGAGAATTGGGTGCACTTTAATTCCTAACTTGATCAAGATAATTGCTCCTTATAAAAGAGTATAATATTCACTAATGCCATTCCTACTAAAAATTACAGCAAATTGGAAATTTAATGTCTAACAATCCTAATCTATAAAGACATTGCTAATATGCTGCTGTGGATTAGAAGTGGTTTTCCCCCCAGCTAGTGCTTGCATTGATATCTCAAATCAAGCCCAGATTGTGAAAAAAGATATGTCTATCTAAAGATCACAACTTAGGCCAGACAGATGAAATCATTGGTGATTGGGAAGCCTTAAGAAGAGTAAACAGTGTTGGATGGGGGTGGGTGAGGTGTGTTGAATGTGTGAAGATAATTGGAAAATTATGAGAAGACAGAGCCATTTCCAGGCCCAAGGCTAGAAAGCAAGAGAATGTGAGTTCACATCAGTGGTGGGTTCCTCCCGGTTTGGCCCGGTTCCGCCTGCAAAAATACATGAATAGATCAGTGCCTGTAAAAATACATGAGTAGATCAGTGCCTGTAAAAATACATGAGTAGATC